AAAGTGAAATGGGAACTGGGATTATCGTCAGCATTCTAGGTTAGGTCAGTCCCCCCTGTAGTAATAGCTCCTTAATATGGAGTTAATATGGCCTTAATCTACCTACAAAAGTCCCTTGTGGTACCCATTACTGGGGGGGGGGATTGACCCCAAACCCTTGACCCTAAACCCTAAGCCCTTCTAGGGATGTAGAAGACGGAATCGCCGGCAAGGTCATTCTTCATGGCCCCTATATGAACTATAGTCTAAACTCTTGGCATCCCTCTTAGTCAGCACTATAATACACCCGTATGTTATCTCCTATATAACCTTCTTTAAGGAGTTTAGACTATAGCTCAGATTAGTCCAGAGTTTAATCCATGGCCCTGCTCTTTTATGTAGGCCCTAAACCCTAAGCCCTAAAACCCTAAACCCTTAAGATATGCCCGTTCCTGCTTCGGGAGACTCACCGCACGCGGATCTGCGAGGCGCAAACGTCAGCAATACCACCCACCTCAACGGCACGAACAAAACCTTGGAAACTGGGCTTTACGGTTTAGGGTTGAAGGAAAGGAACCTATAGTCCCCCTTGAGTAGATAGAATATGGGGTAGTTATATGGGGATCTTATTATGATATACTCAAAATATTCTATCTACTTAAGGGGGAGCCTAAACACTTCCAAGGAAGACCGTATTACTTACGATATGACCTTGTTTTGGCAAGCTTGTTTTGAGTTCCTCAACAGCAACCCAGGAGAACATCCTCGTGAACAATTTGGAGCATGACCTGGGGGAAGCCAATACCTTTCCTGACTTGGACAATGCTTCGCGGCTGCGGGTCGATCCTCATTGGTTTGGGTTTAGGGCTTGCAGGGCTGTTTTGTTCAGCTTTTTTCTATCTGTTAAGACGATAACTCGCATCATGCTAATGTTGTTTAATGTTATTATTACTCTGATTTTTGTGATAGTTGTTATTACTATCACTATTGCGGTCATGACTATTACTCTTTCTAGTATGTTTTCATTGTGTGTATGTTCAATCGTGTTATGGTTTGTACTTGTGTCCCGCGGTGGGGACGGGGTCTGTATGCTTCCTTTGGGCAAGGTTTTTAACCCCATCAAATCTTTTCCAGGTGAAAGCTTGGCAGAGGAAAGCCCAAGTTGTAACTAGCTTTAGGGTTTCGGGTTCAGGGTTTAGGGTTTATGGGGTAAAGGCCTAAGTCTTTTATACTTCCATGTGCGGACAGCCCAAAACCCTTCACCCAGTTTGGGGGTTTATGGCTTCAGGCTTAGATTTTCGGATCCACGATTGAGGGGCTTAAGTTGCTACATGGGTGGTTGTCAAAATTATGGTCCCTTTTTGGATCCCTATTATAATACGGCACCTAATATTTAGGCTACCCAAAAAAGGGGCCATAATTTTGACAACCACCGTATCGTTGATTCCGGCATAGATTTTTTCGGAGCGGGTCCTTGCGCCCGAAACTTGTACACAAGCACAGTTGTCCTAAATCCTGAAATGATGGGTTCAAGTAGTACCCCCCCTCTATACTACCCCCCCCTAGGTTCCCCCCTTAATTCAGGTTATTTAGGGATATTTAAGCTTAATTAAGGCTAATTAAGGGGGGAACCTAGGGGGGGGTAGTGTAGAGGGGGGTACTACTTGAACCCATGATGAAACCTTAAGATCCACGACCCCAAATTGTGTACCTAATCTGCGTATTTAGCCATCTGGACGTCATGAGTACATAATCCCCAGAGCACATATAAGCTCTCCATGTCATTTGTCATGTTCTTTTCCAGTTGATTCTCCCTTAAAAGTGATATCCCTAAACCCTGAACCCAAAAGCCCAAATCCAAAGCCCCAGGCCCTACATCCTAAACCCTAAACGCTAAACCCTACTCAGGGTAGTTAGGAACCTGGACCGTTAGGGGAACCCTCAACCCTAAACCCTAAAAACCTAAAACCCTAAAGCCCTAAAACCCTAAAGCCTAAAGCCCTAAAACCCTGAAGTCCTAAAGTCCTAAAACCCTAAACCGTTAAGCCCTGAAACCCTAGACCCTAAACCCTAAAACCCTAGACCAGGCTACCAACGATACACAAGGAAGGCATGGGCTTGGGCAACTGGGTGCGAATATCGAGTTCCTGATGCTCAAGGTGGGATAAAAAGAGGGAAATATGGGGGTCGTATGAGTTGGTTATATAGGGGGGTTATATAACATAGGGCTTAGGGTTTAAGGTTTAGGGTCTAAACTCCTTAAGGGGGAGTTATATAGGGAATTATTGAAGCGGAGCATTATAGGGGTTATTACGGGGGATACAAGGAGTTTGGACTAGGGCCCATGTAGGGATTAGGGGCTTAGGGGAATGTAGGGCTTAGGATAATGAGGGTTTAGAGGGCTATAGATGCTTTGAAGGCCCAAATCCGATAGCCCCTAGGCAGCAAGACCAAGCAAGGGCCCCACGTTTTTTGAGTAATAAATGGACACGGCTGAATATTTGGTACTAGCATCCCTTATAACTTATAACCTTTATCTAAATACAGCACGCTGTACCCCAGAAGTAAACACAAGCCAGCAAAAGCCCAAAGGTTGCGCAGCTCGAAACCATCGTCGAGCTCCAGCAGGCAGATCTACCATTGATGCATGTTGCGCTGCCCTGGATGTCCGAATTGTTGCAAGTCATCGTAGTTCAAAGTGTTGTGGGTCAAGGGGGTGGTGTCTCGGGTCCAAAGTTTAAGGTTTAGGAAGTGCTTTCCCCCATGCACAGTATCTCAGGACCAAAGGTTCCCTGTGCACCCTGATCCATTCCCTTATGCAATTTGTTGGTTAAATCTCAGTACCTATAAGCCATATCAAAAGTTGGGGAATAGGGGTAGTCGGATTGGAAAATTACTGAATCGGGCCCCAGTTCCTGAAAATGCAGTCTCCCCCCAAACCAACATGGAGCCGCCAAAAGAGCCATATATCGACCACTGTCCTTGAGCAGTTTCAACCCCAAACCCTAAACTCCAAACCCCAAACCCTAAACCCCAAACCCTAAACCAGGGGCAGGGTAGAGAGCCTCAGGTGGAGCTGAACGAAATGAAATCATGTGGCTGCGCACAGGACCCCCTGGTTCTTCTTCAGGTCTAGGGGTTAAGGGCTTAGGGTTTAGGGTTTGTTTTGGGCTTAGGGCTTAGGGATTTAGGGCCTCATAAGCCTTGAGACTACAATCAATACCACTTTCTCATGCTTCCTCATATGAACTAGTGTCACTGTTTGGGCTTGCTGGGGGACCATTACGGGCGCACATAGGGGTCCCTTTGGTGGTTTAGAGTAACCACGAATAAATTCTCTAATAGTAGAGGCCCCCATGTCCATTGCATTAATCATGTGGAAACATTGACGGTAGCTCCCTCGACTATAGTACGTTGCACCTACACAGGCTGGTTCGACATATTAGAGTTCAGTGTGCAGTCACATTCTCTTAAAGATCCTTTGAAAGGGTCTCCTGTGCTGGGCTGGGGTGTCTTGAATTTCCTAAACCCCAAACCCTAAACCCTGAACCCCAAAGACCAAGCGGCTTTAGGTTAGAACCCTAGGTCGGAACTAGGGTTTAGGGGTTGCTGTGATGTTAGGTGGAACATGCAGAATACGAGCTGCAGGGTGACGTCGACTGCATCCAGCCTGCCAGGTGCTGCAACAAAGGCCATGTGACACATTCGCCCACCCCACGACGTATAAGGTGGCTAAGCCACCCAAACCTACTACTCCTTTTGGCGTTACTACTTAACTTGCCTTAGGTCCATCTAGGTCCACAACACAAATTCATCTTTGTCTTATGCATCGATCCGATGTTAAAGGCTCATGGCGGGGTTTATTACCGCCCCCTTGCCTGTGCTGAGGCGAGGTCAGGTAGGTTGACCTGCATCATCGAAGTCAAGGGGCCTAGGCACCACCCACCATCGTAAGTGGGTGCCCTAAGCCACGAGTTTTGGGTTTAAGGGGGCTTTTATGCAGGACCGTAGTACCTACCTGTAAATACACAAATATGTATATATATATATTTATTTATTTATTTATTTAGATATACACGGGCTATTTGCAGGTCAAGTTTTCATGTCCACCCAAAATCTTAAACCATAAATCCCAAGCCGTAAACCCCAGACCTTAAACCCTGAATCCTACACCCTAAATCCTAAACCCTGAGCCCTAAGCCCCAACCCCTAAACCCCTAAACCCCTAAAACCCTAAAACCCTAAATCCGCGGTCTGAGGATGCCAGCGCTGCCGAGGTTAAGGCCAAGGAAGGTGCACAGGCAAGCAAGGCCTGGGAGGGCTCTCATGACTCCTTGGGACTTAGCTTGGACCTTAGACTCTTAGACCCTTAGCCCTTTGAGATTCCCCTATATCCCTATTATAGGTAATGAAGGGTTAACCCTTAATAGTGGTCCGAAGTGCCAAGTAGATGATTTAGGGCTTAGGATCTGGGCTTTGGGAGGATTTCAAGGCTTTGGGTTTAGGTTGTGGGGTTGAGGATTGAAGGTTGGGGATTCAGGGAATCGGATTGAAGACTTGGCATTGTTGATTCAAGCTTCCGCCTTCGGATTTGTCAAGTTTAGGGTTTGAGCTTTGAGGTTTAGGATGAAGATTCATGATTTAAGGTTCAGCATTCAGGGCTCATTGCTTAGGTTCAGAGTTGAACGTCTATGGTGTAGGTAAAAGAATTCAGCGCTCAGGGTTCACAGCATTGGGCTGGGCTTGACATGTTCAGATACTAAATGGTTCACCCTCCTTCTAAGCAACATGCACCCCAAAGAGGTCCCTGTAGATAAAGGCTTGGTCCATGCCGTAAACTCTAATTGAACCCTAACTAGGTTTTGGATGGGATGGATTTAGGTGGGTCAGGGCGTCTGGGTTTGAAGCTCAGCGTTTTAGCAGGCTGGAGCGGCGGTTAGGCTTCAGACTGTAATTCTTCGGCAGTTGAGAGATTTCTGTAGTGTCCTTCTCACGCCTGTTTGCCCGCAACCAAAATGAAGGCCCAGGAGGTCTTGAAGAAAGTGCTACAGAAGCACAACCACCAAAGAGAGAAGCGGGAGTTCGTGACGCCCCACAAGACCTTGCGGCCTTCACTAGCGTGTTTTGCTTTTTTTTTTTCTGCCGAATTGTGAGTTCCTCTTTCATGGCAACTCCCTAAAACTGAAGCCCTGAAGCTATACTGTAAAAGCCTGGATGAGTTGCAACATCATCCCCATTACAGTCCTTGTATATAGATAAGTATAGCTTACCACATTCCAAAAGCCCGCCCCACCCTGAAACCTAAACCAGCATTTCATTTTTTGATCTTCCATTATTGGGATACTAAGACGCCAAACCCAAGCCCCTAAAACCCTTAAACCCCAAACCTTTTATTCTTCGTAGGGCTTCCTGATGAGCCAAGGACTGCACCAGCACCTCCATCGAAGAAGAAAGGACAGGTCAAGGAACAACTGCTTCAGCGACGCAAAGAGAAATCCTCGAAAGCGAAGGCTCTGATTTTGGGGTCCAGGGTTTCGGGTTTTCGTGTTTTTTGGTGGATTTAGGGTTTTGGGGTTTCCGGTTCAGGGTTCTAGGCTTTCAGGAAAATTGGACGGCAACTGTCGCAGCTGATGTCATGCAAGTGTGCTGTCGCCGACATTGATATTGAACCTACCTAGGCCCCTAGGCCCATCCCTTGTTTGGGATACCTAACCTAATGTCTTGCATTTTCTCTACACAAGAAAGGCACCCTAAAAAAAGGGGGCAGGGTGTAGAAGTCTAGGCACTCTCCCCCTAATGGAATTGTGTCTCAGGTCACTTCCGTTTCTCCGCATGATTACCTTGGCATAGTAACTGGGGAATGATGGAATTGATCCATATAGTCGGCTTTATGTAACCCCCTTTCATCCTACCTGTAACCCATGCCCCACTCCCCACTAAGCCCTAAACCCTAGATTTAGGGGCTTGGGGTTTAAGAGTGGGGGCCGTTGAAAGGGCTTGACATTCTCTTGCACAAGACCACTCATGTTGTAACATGCGCCCTACAGTAATCCCTTCATCCCAGAAATTTAGAACCCATGTTACACGGCTCCGTTTTAAATATGACCTTGTACTTTTCAGCCACCAGGTAAGGGAAATCATCAAGTTGTAGCCACATGATATCTTACAGCCCTTTACAATGCATAGACAGCACCGGCACTTCATTAGAGAAGAGTATCGTTGCTGTTTTCTCGACCGAATTTAGCCATTCAGAGGTCTGAACAAAGATTTTCTGGCGGGGTTTAGGTGTAGGGTCTAGGGACCAAGTCTGTTCTCTTGGCAGTGGGGTGTGTGCCTGATATGAGGTACTGTCAATACTGGGCTTGAACCAGGAAAGTCGACTTGAGGGTGGGCACTGCCCCCCCTCAGTAACAGTTGGATAATATTCATAATATAATTACAATATGGTTATATATAGCCCTTAATAGGACCCCTAATATAGACTGTTACTGGGTGGAGGCAGTATCCAACCTTAAACCCATTACTAAAAAACATTATAACCTCTTTAGTCCCCTATAGAATCCCAGTTTCCATTTCACTTTCCATTTTCTTTTCCATTTGATTCTCCATTATTAAGGGGAACCCTTAGTAACTTTGGGGGCTCCTCTGCTTCCTATTTCACACAAAGCGAGTTGCACATGAAGCCTTATGGAGGGCATGAAGAGCAACCAAGAGTAGTGACGGCAGCTCACATGTATCCCATGCTTCGGATTGTCCGGGGTTCCACATCTCAACCGTAACCCCGTGAGCGGCTAACGCTCAACCCTAAACCGCGGTTTTTTGTTGCTACCTTGTTTTGCTGTTTGCATTTTATACCCTAGAGCTCGATCGCCGCCTGCATCTACAATAACTTCCTTTGAGATCCTGCCGAAAGTCTCAAAACACCAAATACTGTGCGCTGTTTGCCAGCCTGAACTCTAATCACTACTGTTCTTGGGTGCAAAAAGCCCAGATTTGAACCAGGTAATATCCTATACTCTTTTGTTATGTCTACTTTTCTGGACAACACTAGTCTTTGAGAATGTATCTGCCTACCTAAACCCTAAATCCCTAAATCCCTAAACCCTAAATCCTAAACCCTAAACCCTAAATCCCTAAATCCTTAAACCCTAAAACCTAAAACCCTAAACCCATTGGGCAGGTGAACGCCAATACCAGCTCCCTGGATGATGCCGTGGCCTCCAAGTGGATTGACCCAATTGCACCAAGGCGTGCAATGACTTAGGGTTTAGGCTAAAATCCGAGTAGCCCCCTTAAGAAGCCCTATAGCAGTACCCTAGACAATCCCTTATATACCGCGCGAAGGAGTTTAGACCTTAAACCCTACACAAGCTCTTATATTACCCCCTTTAAGGAGTTTGGAATAGGGCTCTCTTGTTGTTGCTGATGGGAGAGTGCCTTGAAGGATCCCTGTAGTGTGATAAGGGTTGAGGGTTTAGCTTTTTAGTGTTTAGGGTTTTAGGGTTTAGGGTTTAGGGCGGAGTGGATACCTGGAATTCCTGATATATCATATGAGGGCGGGGTGGGGGTGGGGGTTAATACTAGCGGGGAGGGCTTAGTATCAAATTTCCCTCTTAGCACCTGCAAGACGATAGGATTTCATTCGGGGTCTGGGTTGAGGGAGCAGGGTATACACTCCCCCAAACTAACATGGAAACCCATATGGTAGTTTCCCAAAATAAGGGGACCCCAATATTGGCCCCGAAATATTGCAATCCTCATTACTGAGACCCCTCCAAAAGGTACCCCTAATTTTGGGAAACTACCATATAGTCCCCTTTTAGAAGGGGCTGTAGTCTTTTTAGGGCCCTTTTTGAAGTTTCCATGTTAGTTTCCGGGAGTGTAGGGTTTGTTGGTGATCACCTGGAAAGCTTTCAAGACGCCATAAACCCTAAACCCTAGGGTTTTGGGTTTAGAAATTAGGGTTTAGGGTTCAGGGTTTAGGGTTTAGGATCTAGGGTTTAGGATCTAGGGTTTAAAGTTTAGGGTTTATGGTCTAGGGTTTAAAGTTTAGGGTTTAGGGTTGTATTCTGCATTATGACGAGGACATTTGGGGGCCCAAAGCTCAGCTCATAATGGCCTACGCCTTAAATACAAATGGGTGGCTATCAAGATCATGGTCCCTTTTTGGGTACCTTGAATATTAAGTGCCGTATTATAATAGGGACCCAAAAGAGAGACCAGAATTTCGACAACCACCCAAATATTTGCCCCATCTTCCTCTCCCCAAGGCTCTGCCCTAGAGAACTGGCCAACTGTGCCCAAGCTGACGTCCGGACTGAAACGGGTCGCCGGTGCACTTGGTGAACCCCAAGCACTTTTATTTGCCACTAAGCCACAATCTGCGTTCCCCTACCCATCCCAGCACAAAATGTGGAGACTGCTTGGGGTTGCTACTGGTTCGCCGCTTCAGGGTGCGATGTTCATCCCCTAGAAGCTTACATTGCTGCCTGATCCCAACCCGCACTCCCTCATCCCCAATAAGGCACTAATCTCTGAATCGGGTGAAACCCCAACATACTAAACCCCAACCGCGAACCCTTAACCCATGCGCTGAGGCAGACTTGGGTGAGGACATTGGCGGGGCCATTGCAGATGGCACCGGTTTGGTTGGCGATGCTTTAGGCTGGGTTGCAGACTTTAATCTGAGCTCAGGAGTGTTGTTGTAGGGTGTAGGGTTTGGGATGTATGGTGTACGGTTAGGTCGTGCAAATGCTTATACAAGTCCTGTATACAGTTCTTCGCAGGAGGTGGATCTAAGCCCAGAGTTCCTCAGAGGAGGATCCCAGGCTGGTGAGGTCTTGAGGTTTGGGTGCCTGTGGTAGGGTGAGCTTTGGAGCATGGCCAACATGGCTCAACTTTTCAAAATGACCCCTACAGTACTTCTAAAGGGCGGCACACCAACATACGGGGTCCCTTAACAGCACACTATTTTCAGAGAAAGCTCAAAGTGCCACATCAGTACCGCTGATGGACCTCACACTAGCCAGCAAGCCAGCAACATGAACAGGCATCTCGCTCCCCTCCACAACCTTGAAATTTCAAACTTGGGTTTCAGGGCTCAGGAACACTGAAAAAAAAGGCCTTAAATTCTAGGGTTACGGGTTCAGGGCCTGGGGTCTCGACCTTCCTTGTAATGGGATGCCAGCTAACCTGGATACTGGCTTGCAGACCATGCTGCGATCTTAGCCATCATCTGCATAAAAGAAACAGTTTTTAAGAGGATTGGGTCGATCCCTTAACCATCCCAGCCCACACCTAGACCTCTCCTGAGGGCACGAACACGAAGTGAAGCCCCAGCCATGTCCTTCAAAGCTGACACGGCCAAACGTGAATGCATTTGTGTCGTCAGTCAGGAAACACGCAGAAGTTGCAACCAGACTATATCTTGGGTAGTCCCTGGTGGTAGCCATTGTAGATGACGCCATGAAACCGTGCTTGCGTGGACCAAGAAATCCAGTCCATCAACCCTAACCTGACCCTCTAGCCATTCCTATCTGTTCCTATGTGATGGCTGCGTAATCCTTAAGTGATGACGTTCCTCCCGCCCTTCAACTTAATTGATGTTGGTAGGGAACGGAGGACTGGATCTCTATGGTAGGATGTATAACCTCCATAAAGCAGAGCGGTCCCCATTTTCTGTTCCACTCTTTCATCCACTACTCATGAGCCCTAGTCTCTCAACCATAAACCCTTCAAAGAACCTCTTAAGCACCCTATAGGCTACTCTATTTGCAATCCCTATTGCAATCCCAGTGTCCATGTCATTGTTCCATTTTATTTTCCATTCCTGGGCCCTACCCCAATATAATCCCCAACTAATTAAGATCTGCCCCTAAACCCTAAACCCTAAGCCCCAAACCGTAAACCCAAAACCCCAAACCCTAAAACCTAAACCCAAACCCTAAACCCTACTAAGATCTTAGTCAGGGGATGCTTATGAGTCCGCGGCAGACCAAGTCTCCTTCGTCGCAAACACGGTCGCTGGGCGTTAAGGTTTTCAGCTCTATCGGGATATATGGGGGATATACAGGGATATATAGGGGTTTAGGGGTTTTGAGGCTTTATTGGGGTTATATTGGGGTTGCATAGGGGTAATGGAAATGAAAATGGAAACGACTATCCAGGGTTTAGGGTTGAGCGGTGAAGGCTTAAGGTATAGGGGTTGGGGTCTAGGGCATGAAGTTCTAGACGCCCAGAGCTTGCTGTCACTTGCTCAGTGGCCGCACAAAGCGTGAATTGCCGGCTTCAGGGTTTAGGGTTTCATAACTGGCTTTTGAGCTACCATCGGGGTTTGGGGTTTAGGGTTTAGGCGCTTTAGGGTCTAGGCGGTTTAGGGTTTAAGAATTAGGGTTGAGGCGGTTTAGGCGGTTTAGGGTTTAGGCGGTTTAGGGTTTCTGTTTGAGGGGCTAACATGTACCACAATGTCGGTAGATGATTCAGAATTCTGTAGGGTTTCCTTACAATGGTAATCATGAAGCCTTATCACAGGGATATCCACCCTCAACCCTAAACCCTGGGCAAGGGTTCGCGATCTGTGTTCTGGGGGCTGTGGAACTAATCCCATTCGAGCCATAGCCTAAACTTCTTAGTAAAGCGGAGTATTATAGGGGTTACTAAGGGGGATACTAGGAGTTTAGACCCTTAACCCTAAACCCCACATTATATGGGTTATTCACGGGGATACTCTCAGGAGCTTAGACCACAGCTCATACATCCTTTATATAACCCTGTATATAGCAGTTTCCATTTCATTTCGCATTTTCTTCTCCATGTGATTCTCCAGTATTGGGGTATATACAATCCCAAAAAATAATACTACTAGGAGCTTAGACCATACCGTAAACCCTAAACCCCAAGCCTAAACCCTAAAACCCTAAAACTCTAAACCCCAAAACCCCTAAACCCCCTACCCCTAAACCCTTAACCCTAAACCCCTATAGCTCACTTGTGAACTTAGAGAAGCTCAGGTCATTGACTCCGTGGAGCTGGCAGTTGACATTCTGATCCGAGGTTTCACAGACTGGAATGCTACTTGCTGGCTTTACTCGGGTTTAAGGGTCAGGGTTTACGGTTGAGGGTTTAAGGCCTTACCCTAAGGGTCCAAGGAACCAAATAATAGGGCTTCAGGGCCGAAGTATTTAAGTATTTGGGCCCTAAAACCCTATAAGTTGGGTCCTTGGACCCTTAGGGTAAGAGATTGAGCTGGCTTTACTCCCCATGGGTAGTTCCCAAAATTAAGGTTCCATTGTGGTACCCCCCCCCCCATTTTAGGTGCCGAAACATAATCCATAACCAAATGGGACCCATGGTCTTGAGAATAACCCCATGACCTAAGCGATTGAGTTAAGCAGCTTCCTGCAAAGCCGATGAGTATCTAGCAGCGCAGGCCGCCTGTCATAAGCCTTTTGATGGGAGCAGAGCCACTGAATGTGCGACTTCTGAACGGGAGCAGTTCAGACTATCGGCTCACGTATTGAAAAGCAGGAGCTCTTTCTCCCAGCCCTAAGGGCCCAAGCGATTAGATAGTATGTAATGTGGGCCCAGAGCACCTGTGTAGGAACCCATTTAGCCCAAATTATCCTCTATTATTTCAGTACTTGGACGATGTAGGGATATAGAATATACTTATGGCCCAAAATATGGAGAAAACAAGTAATAGCAATAATTTTGATTTCTTCCAGGGTCCTTGGTGACGGGAGCTGAAATGAGGCTGGATGTGATGAGAGCAGCTGGCCATCCATGAGCATCTCAGCTGAAATCCTGAACAGGCGACCTTAAATCCCAAACCCTAAACCCTAAGATCCCTAAACCCTATAAGCCCTAAACCCTAAACCCTAAGACCTAAACCCCAAGACCCCTAAACCCTATAAACCCTAAGACCTAAACCTTAAACCTGAGTCTCAGACGGTGGCTTCTACTGAAAGAGTCCCTAAGCATGGCTTCATTACAGGCTTTGGACGTGTGGCACATGAGCCAGCTAAACTGTGTGTCTTGCATCTTGTACTGTTTAGTCATGCAAGGCCTAAACCTTAAACTTGTTATACAGACCCTTGGGTTGTTGACTTCCTCCTCTGTGGCAATTTACCTTATCTACGTGGTGCTTACCAGGACATCAGAGGAAGGATCCTGGTAGATGTCCGTACATACGCCCATTTCCGTAGTCCCGAACTATATCCGATTCTGAAGAACCCTGCTACCGGGTTGCTGTTAAGGAACTTGAATTAAGTTACTGTAATAAGAACGCCCTACTATTGTTTACGATATACCCATACCTGGTAACTTGATTTAAGCTTCTTAGCAGCAAATCGGCCCAAACACCTTTGAGTTGTTCGTATGTTGGCAGTTTCCGTGAGTTGATATAGTGCTGGTCCGTAACAGTTGGAGCTCCTATCGCAATAATCGTGAGTCCCGATGTGTTAAGATCCCTTTAGGACTTTTGGACTAGTATCAAAATGGGGACTCAAAAGTAAATCAACAGCGCATAATTTCAGCAATCCACCATACCTCTCCCCCCATTAAATGAACAGCAATTTAAAGGCAACCTCGCGCGCACCTGTTTTCCAATCGTTCACTGAACAGCCCAGGGATCGATTCGCGCGGGCTCAACGTGAATTGGGGACGACAGAACCTGGGCGAAAAAACGTTGAGGGTTTAGGGTTCAGAGTTTGGGTCTAGGGTTACCCGAGAGTGGGCCACTTATAACGGACTCGCCCCGCCTCACTTTTAATGGTGGTCCATATAGAAGCGATCCCAAATTGAGTTAACTCCAGCTTTTGGAAACTCATATGGGTGTTGTCAAAATCATGGTCCCTTTTTGGATCCCTATTATATTACGGCACCTAATATTCAGGGTACCCAAAAAGGGACCATAATTCTGACAACCACCCATATCATAAAGTGGCAGAAATGGCCTCAAGCCGGGCTGGGTGTAGCTTGTGGTTCTTGAGCGTCTTCATCCATTCCAGGGTTGAGGGCTTAGATTTTCCAGCCTCAAAGCCTCAGAGTCTTGTAGTCCCAGTTTAGTAGATAGAGTGTGGCTTTGGGTATATGATAATAAGGTCCCCATTTACCCCATATTCTATCTACTGAAGGGGGACTATAAGCCCCAAGACATTACACCCCTGACCCCTCAACACTCTTGCTCTCATCCTGTTCGCATGCCCCAAGAGAATCTGCTTGAGACCGAGCTAGAAACTTGTTCCTCAGCAACTAAACGCCCGAAAAGTAGAAACTTGTTCCTCAGCAACTAAACGCCCGAAAAGTACGGTCAGAGGGCCCTAAGGTTATTGGTTGCAGAGGACGGGAAATACACCCTGACCCCGGACGTTTGTTCAGGGATGGCGCATGCCTTTAATCTCAGACTAGGGTTCTGGGGTATATATCATATTACAGTCACAGTGTTCTTTGAGAATTCTGGGACGAGCACTTCCCATTTTTTGCATGTTTACAGGGTAGCAAAATGGGATCCCTTGTGGCACCTTATTTGGAGGGTCAGGGATGCTCGGCAAGTACCCCCCCGTAGAAGTGAGAGGGCCATCGCAATGCTACTCAACAAGTCCGCCTGACCCTCTGCCCGCAACCTCAACAGAGCCCAGCAACCCAACAACCTGACTTGCTTAGTTAGTCCTTTGGGCATCAAGGAAATGTTGGATCCGCCTCATGGGGCAGACCGTCCAGCTCTTCGATTTCAACTTTGGAACGACGGATCTCAGCTCCTTGAATTTGCTCATTCTATTTCTTCTTTCTTGAAGTTGTTATTCTTGACAGCTTTGTTTATTGGTCGCAGCCGTGTTCTTCTAACTGTAGTAGTGGTAGGAAGTAGGAAAGGTCAGTGAACTGACCACTGTTTTTGGGCCACAGGGGAGGTAACAGCTCCCAGTACAATGACTAATGTCGGGTTTGATTCGCCCCTTGTTACTTGATCGTTGAGCTCTAAATCCCGAAGCCCTAATTCCAGAATGGATCTAGGCAGCATGAACCCTAAACCCAGCGGTACAGCTCGGCAAATTATGACGACCTCACCCGACCCACCTCCCTATCGAAAATACACGCAATTTGGCTTAGCTTTAGGTTCTGAAAGTATTTTTACATGGCAGGAATCAGGCGATATTGGGAAAACTAACCCCAAAGGTCAATTCTTTCAAGCCCCAAGAAACCCTAAACCCTATGAACCTTAAACCGCAAACCCTATGAATCCTAAAAACCCTAAACCCTATGACTCTTAAACCCTAAAACCCTATCAATCCTAAAGATCCTAAACCCTATAAACCTGAAGCCCTAAACTTTAACATCAAACCGCCCCTAGACTTACCTTTGGCTAGCTAGGAATGAAGGAATGGATCCTTGTAGTAGTCCCTATAGAACCCATTACAGTTGTTTCCATCCCTAAACCCTAAACCCTAAGCCTTAATCAACCCTGAGCCTTAAACCTAAAACCCTATATGAACTGTAGTCTAAACTCCTCAAAGGGGGTTATATAGGGGATTATAGAGGGGACTACTATAGGGATTATTAAGAGGGATACTAGGAGTTTAGACTATGGCTCATATGGGTAGTTGCCAAATTTAGGGTCCCATTTTGGTACCTCTAAATATTAGGTGCCGAAATACAATCCATAACCAAACGGGGCCCATAGTTTTGGGACTAGATCATATAACCTTATATATCCCTTTTAAAGGTATAGTCCCCCTTAAGTAGATAGAATATGGGTATATGGGGACCTTATTATAATATACCCAAAGCCATATTCTATCTACTTAAGGAGGACTATACGACTTTGAGGCTTTGAGCCTACATATCCTTTTAAAGCCCTGTATAATCCTACATATCCCTTTTAAAGGTAACCCCCTAACTTTGGGAAACTCATCAAACAGCCCCTAAAGCCAATAGCGAGGCTGGCCAGAGCCCATTAAGACCGTGGCGGACTTCGGCGTGAGCGCCGCCAAGGCGTTGGGTTTACCAGGTTTAGGGCGTAGGGTTTATGGTTTAGCGCCCCATAAGTGGAGAGAGAGAGGAGAGAAAGAGGAGAGAGAGAGAGAGAGAGATACATATATATATATATATACATATACATGTGTGTGTGTACATGTATATATCACGTTCTATATGCATACATATATACATATATACACATGTATATATAATCACATGTATATATGTAGTGTGTATATATATATATACATATAAAAGGATATGTATGGTATCCCCCATGAATCCGCCCTTTCTGGTGAATCCATGAAATCTCTGCGAAGAAATGTTAATGAAATGGATGCTGAAGGCATCTGCTTCAATGAGCCCATAAATTATGGTAAAAGTTGAAGCCTAAACCCTAAACCCTTAATGAACCCATACATTATGTTAAAGTTGAAGCCTTGAGGTGTCTTGGTTTATGGGCTCCTTTGTGTTAAAATAGTTAAAGCTTTTTCAACAACAGGCGAGCCCAGAAACCAAATGCCAAAACTCAAGAGTCCGGCAAATCTCGGTGCTCGGTTCTTGCTTTCTGGAGTCTTGGGGTGTCCAAAGTCAAAGCCTTCCTTTTGCTCTGCTTTTTGGGTTCCTGGGGTTCAGGACCCTGAAACACGGATCATATGTGCAAATACGAGTCATATGTGCAAATACGTATATATATATATACACATATATATATATGTATATACATCTATATGTAATGTCTCTATATATATATACAAACAAAGAGATATAAGGATGTTGGGGCTCTTGAACAAATAGAATGTCACGTTTTATACGTAGCTGAACTCCGCCGACAAAGATTCAACATGGAAATGCTGAACGGCATCTTGACGTGTTCAAGCCCAGAGCTTAGGGCGTAGGGCTCCTACATGATACTTCAGTCCCTAAAAAGGGACCTTCCACAATCTCTTTACAATGCCCGTCTATTCCCAATGCTTCCATGATTTTGGTGCTGAGGTGTAGATGTTGGATTCTACCTTGACTTTGGACCGACTTGTTATCAGGTTTTTCCCTACATGTCCCGATCATGGGCTGGCCTAACCACCTCCAAGTACGACCTCGCCCCCAGATTGCCTTAGTTACTTAAGTAAGGCTAGACAGGCCTAACTGAGGGAGAACCTTGTAGGGAGTTCATCATGATAATAATGAGCTGTTTACAGAAAGAAAACAACAATGTTGTTGATGACGACCATGGACATTCTTTTCATGATGAGAGGCCCTCTTCACCATGGGCAAGGAGATCGTGAATTGCGTTACAAGCGGCGGCGTTCTGGATGTTTTCAAATGCTTCGGCAACAAGCTGATCCAGTGTCTCGCCGCTTCTGGATATCCTTTTTTGGGCGTTTGTCTTCCGCATGTTTTTAGTGAAAGATGAGAATCATGCCTGCTTGCATTGAAGTCATAGCACAAAGTGCTCAGAGTTTGGGGTTTCAACATCAAGGCCCCTCAAATGTAGGAGGCGTGTACAACTTGGACATGGCAAGCAAGGTATGTCCCGCCGCTGAACTTCCTCAACCGTGTGCCCGACGTTCTCAGTGAGTTCATCCTTGTCTTTGCAAAGGTCGCTTCCGCTGTTGTCAAGCAGGTGGGCGGCATGGACAATCCCAAAGGGTCCATGTACCCAATAATTAGGTACTTGGGATTTTGGGTAATAGTAATTATAGTACAGGTTTTGAGTAAGTATATAGGGAGTCCCTAAACCCTAAACTCTAAACCCTAAACCCTCAACCCTAAACCCTATAGTATGCCCAGGTTTTGTCAAAGTTTGTGGCTCCTGTTGCAATTGTGAAGGGGTAATGCAGGTTGTTCTCCTTTCTGGGTCAAAGAGTAGTTTCCACTTTATTTTCCATTATCTCTATATAAACCCATTATAAACCTAATAGTACCAGTAGTTTCCATGTTATTTTCCATTATCCCTATATAAACCCATTATAAACCCAATATCACCAGTAGTTTCCATTTTAATTTTCCATTATCCCAACCCTAAACCCTAAACCCTAAACCCCTATAGTCCTTGCATCTTATATCAAGGCACCAGCCCTAAATCTCAAGCGCTCCTGAGCTTTGAAACACGGACAGCCTACTCTGGGGGCCCTGTATCCCCAAAACGGGAGGGTTTAGGGTTTAGGGGTTTCAGGGTTTAGGGTTTAGGGGTTTAGGGGTTTAGGGGTTCAGGGTTTAGGGTTAGTCCCCTCCCAAATTTTGGATCCTTAACCTCTACGTTCCTAGGCCTCCAAAAACCAATGGCCGTCCCCAAGCGCTACATCCCGGACCTTGAATGATGATAGATGTTATTGCAGGCTTTTGTGACAGTAGTCGAGGCTCTTTATTTGCAAGTGTATATAAGGCTGTCATGTGGGAAGTCCAGACATTCCAAAATGAGCCAAATCCATAAAAGATGAAAGCCCTACACTCTAAGACCCTCAAAACCAGAGGGTCCAAAAGCCCAAACATTTCAAAACCCAAAACACAAACATCCTACAACCATGGCCCCTAAAACCCCTGCACCTGAAAACCCTCAAATTCCGAGCCCTAAAACCCTAACTTCCCCCAAACCCTTGTAATGCAGAAACCTAGATTAAACAACTACCATTATGGTCCCAGATTCCTTGTACAATACAGGGTACTTCTACACCTCCAAGTGATATGGGTAGTACTCTACAATCCTTATTATCCCGTATGTGACCGGTTCCATTTCATGTCCCATTTTCTTTTCCGTTTGATTCCCCATTTGTGGTTTGTAATACCTCTAAACCCTAAGCCCCAAGTCTTATGTAGAATGTTCAGACCCCTGCAGTACATCCTAGAGCCAGGTCTTACATGATGGCCAGTCCTTGGTGCAAGAGGCCGTGCAAATGGGTAAGGTTTAGAGTTTTTTGTCTTGGCTTTATTAGGTTTAATGGGGGAAATAGGGAGACTAGGGGCTTGCCAAATTTTAGGGTTTAGGGTTTAGGGCCCTAAATGGATTCTGCAGGGATTAAGTTTTAGTGTCCAGGGCTTGGGATTGAACCAGAATTTAGGGTTCAGGGTGCAGTGCTTCCCTTTTAGGGCTCCGGGCCTTGGGTTTGCCTGGACTTTAAAAGGTAGTTTCCCAAAATTAGGGGTAGGGTCCCTATAATAAGGACTATAGTATTTTGGGGTCTATATTGGGGTCCCCTTATTTTGGGAAACTACCAAAAATTGTGCAAATTATGGCGAATAACCATCACAAACGGGCAAGAAGCCTGGTCAGTCTACAGACTTTGGGGTCCTGATATGATTCCGGGCTGTGGTTCCGTCCTTTGAGGCCTACAAAGCTCTAAACCCTAAACGCAGGCCGTGACCTCGGAGTTTCCGGCGGCAGGCGGGTCCCTGACAAATTTACAGGGCTGGAATGTAGGGTCTAGAGTTGAGGGGTTAAGGTTCAGGGATCGGGCTTAGAATTTACTTGCAGGCTCAGGCGATTTAGTAGGTAATGGATGGCGTCATAAACAAACTAGCCATCATTAGGTCTGGTAACACCTTCTATAACCTACTTACTCGTCCCCTGGGCCGTCGGGTAGGGTTTAGGGCTGGGGAGTTGAGGATTGGTTGTGGGGGTCAGTGCTTAGATTGGTATTTGGGGAATGGATGTTTTGGTTTTAAATTAGGGCTGAGGGAGGGTTACCTCAGGTGCCGCAGGGATATAGAGGGATGAGATTATAGGCTCATCGGGAAGTTCCTTTGATATTTTCTATAGGGTTCCCTTGATGCAGTGCGCAGATAGGTAAGCAGGAAGAATTTGTTTCTTTACAGGTATACTTGGGGATACTCATACCCTTAACAAGGCGGATCGGGAACATCTGACGAAGATAGTTCTTCTGGTTTCAGTCGGCTCTCCCCTCCCCAGAGTCAAGAACCCCTTAAGCTGGACCCACATAGGGCTGAACCCGGAATCCTAAATCTTCAGTTATAGGCCCTCAATCCCTAAACCTCTAAACCCGAAACCTTAATAAAGGACTCCCTTAGGCATCCCTTAGCCCTCCCTAAGGTCTCATATAGTCCTCCAATATGGAGCCCCCATGTATGGCGAGTCCTCGTAGGGTTTCTTTAAAGGAGGACTCCCATGTTCTGCTTAGAGTCCCTGGAGTAGGTTGAATATGGAATCCACCAAAATCATATCAAGATTTCCATGTACCCCATATTGCATGTACATAAGGGGTGCTCTACATTCATCTGGTCTGTAGCTCAGGCGAGAAGCCCATGGTGCACCATTCGGGTCAACATCTGATCATCCAGACTCACTCACAGCGCCGGCCTGCAGAATCTTGGCTTTGTCTTGTAGTAGGTATCTTTAGGGGTTTAGGTTTAGGGTTTAGAGTTTAGGGATCAGCTAGTGCAGGAGTATCTTGATGTTTTTGCGGAGCTACTTTCGGCTTCATGACACATTGCCGAATCTTTGTTCTAGAGGAACAGGAGGACTTTCGGCTACTGTTCTCGAACTTATGACCTATGCTCGAGAATCATGCACAGGTGATACAGATTGGTGGTCTCTCCAGATTATTGGGTCTCTGAGGTACATGAGGACAGGGTGTTTTTGCCGTATTTGGGAGCCGTGATGAGTTGATGTGTGGAACAGCTGCAGAGCCTACTTGGAGGCCCATGGGACTTTGTCCCTTTAAGGGGGGTTATAGGGATATTTAGGGTTTAGGGATGAGGGTTTAGGGTTTAGGTTTCATGGGACTTAGTAACAACTTATAACTGGGCCTATAACCTTACTTATGATCCTCCTAAAAGGGCTTATAGGGGTTAACCCAATTATCAGTAGGGCTATAATCAAAGTTATAATTAGCTACTAAGTCCCATGGCCCTCCAAGTACCCCCAATCAAGTTAAAGTATAAGGCTTAACGGGCTGGGATAGGGATTGGTTCCTCCAGTGACTCCAGTGGTTGCAGGGGTTCATAGGCTTAGTATACTTGTCCCATAATATATTATAGCATACCCATAATATGATACCCATAATCTACTATGATATACCAGAATATATGCATGAATATATGCATAATATACTGCAATATACCATGAACTTGTTCCCATTAGATGCTCTACCCATCTCTACCCTAAACCCTCGACCCCAAACCCTAAACCCTAAACCGCCTAAGCTCTTCCCCAAATACCCCCGAATGGCCACTGCTGGCCTTAATGGAGAACACATCAGCCGCCAAACCTTAAACCCCAAGCCGATCTTCCTTGGTTTAGGGTTTAGCGCTTAGAGTTTAGTATTTGGGGTTTAGGGCCTAGGATTTAGGGTGGAGTTCAGGATCTAGAGTTTATGGTTTAGGAGGCTTAGCTTGCAATCCTGAGACGGATTGCACCTAAGGACGTGGCTCAACTTACCAGAATAGTCACATCTGTTAAATCAATTCCTCATTATCCCACAGGGCACTAACAGTGCTCACAAGAAACTATAATATTTTCAGTTGAAGTCCTACTATGTTCCTGCGATACCACTTTTGCTGGATGGGGGCAAGAGAAAGCCTGCCATAAGATCCCTAAAGCCCTAAACCCCAACCTCACAGGTACATGGTATGTGTATAGAAGGGAACCTAGGATGGAAATCATCCACATGAGAGTTGTAGGCAAAGACTAGTTCAGAGCTACAGCGACAATGGTCCGAAGAGGACACCTCCACACCCGCCCAAAATGTCGGGTAGTACTATCTTAGGGGAGTATTTCATTATTAGGGGGTTGGAGGGTGTGGCTTTCTTGGGGTGAGGAGATTAGTCATGGTAAGAAGTGATGCTCATCATGTGAGCCATGCAACTACTTCCACGATGCAAGGATAGCACCCTAAACCCCAACCCTACACCTTGAAAGGCCCATGCTCGGGGTAACCCTTATAAGCCTGCTTAGGGGGGTTATAAGCACAGTTCAAATCTAGTAGGAAGTTTTGGGTGGGGAAGTTTCTCCTTTATAATCCTTACACTGCCTTCATTTAGTCCTAATGTCTCCACATAAGCCTGGTATAAGCCTCACGTATGGGTACCCACCTGGTAACTACCCACCTGAAACTCCCTAAACCTGAACCCTAACACCCTGAACCGAGGAGGAGCGCCCTGAGATGTCCTCGCTACAGGAGACTGCTGAGATCCGGGATGGCCCAACCGGCCCTAAACAGGCAGTTTACGGTTTAGGGTTTAGGGCTTAGGGCTGGAGATCCAGGATGATCCCCTAAACAGGCGGAGTTGTTTTTTCAGCATAGATGCATAGGCATTTGGTATTGCAAATGCAGTAGGTGTGTGCATGGTCCTTTTGGTAGGGGTCCTTTTCGTAGAGACCCCCGACAAAAGGTACCCGCAACTTTGGGAAACTCCCCGCAGATGCGAAAGATAGATGCTTGGATAGGGATGGTATACTTTTGGGGAGAAGGGTTTAGGGTCCTGGGATAAGACGCAGATGAGCGAACCTCACAAAGAAGGACCAGGATGCCCAGGTAAATGTGAGTTGCGTCTTGGGTGGGGAGCAGGCCTCAAGGATTTCTGGGTATGGTTTAGGGTATATAGAGTTCAGGGTATATAGGGCTTAGCGTATATAGGGTTTAGGGTATATAGGGTTTAGGGTATATAGGGCTTCGGGTATATAGGGTTTAGGGTACATAGGGATTAGATACTGTAGTCTCCTTAGGGATTATATTTCATTTTTATTGCAGTCTAACCGCAAGGCATTTTCATCAAACATGGTCTTTCTATTCGAGGCCTAACAGGACTACAGGACATTCCGCAAAAATTGTAGAATCAAACGAAGAACGCAATAAAACAAGTGTCAGGAGACTGTGAGTTCAAGGCCGGTTTAGGGTTTAGGGTTTAGGGGTTTAGGGTTTAGGGTGCTCACCCATCCTGACATTCTGATATTCCCAGAAGGGCCTTGTAGCTGACCTTTGGTTAGCTGGGAATGAAGGAGTGGAAAGGAAAATGGAAACTACGATCATGGGTTATACAGGAGCTGCTAACCACTATAAGGATCCATTCCTTCATTCCCACCTAACCGAAGGTAAGATAAAGACTAGAGTCCAGTACAAGGGGGCGCTATGTCGTCCCTTGATAGTTTTGGACAGCTAAACCTTAAACCTAAACCGTAAACCCTGAACCCTAAACCTAAACCCTAGGCCACCCATCAGAACCCGGAAGTGAAAGCAGGTCGTCAACTTCAAGGTCAGTGCCATTGATGCCAACTACCAGACGAAACTTATCATCTTGGTTGTGTAAGGGGGTTGGGCTTGGAGGTTCAGCATTTAGGATTTTACAGGTTTAGGGGTTTAGGGTTTAGGGGGTTTAGAGTTTTTGGGGTTTACGGTGTGGGATTTAGGGGGGTTAGGGGTGTAGAATTTAGGGCTTGGTTGGCTTTAGGCCTGGCGCTTAGGACTTCAACTTTTAAGGCTGCCTGCTGTCTGCAATCCCTGAATGCTAAACACCAAACCCTAAACTACCCCTAAACTCTAAACCCTAAACCCTAAATACTACAATAGGAAGGCTGAAAGTTGAACTTCTATGAGGGGTCGTACAGTCAGCTAAGGAAGCTCATCACCCAGTTTCAAGGCAAGGAGGCCGGGCGCGGGTCCAAACGTTGCGAGGGGGGTGGATTCAGGGTTGTTTTGGGGTCCCATGTGAGCTATCGTGGGTTATACAGGGGAGCATCCTAGGGGTTGTGAAGGGATACTTGGAGTTTAGATAATGGCTCAAGTGAAGTGGCAAATCAACAAAGTACTCAACAAAGCCCAAGTCTCCCACCCCCGCACCTTGGTGGTGATGATCCTATCTGCGAATAAGCATGCCAGATAAATCGAAGACCACGTTTCACATGTTGCAAGCCCAGCAAAGAAGCAATTCGGGATCATTACGCTTTCCTTACTGTTACATAGTCATGGGTGTTGAGGGGGTTGTCAACAGGGGTGCGGGTCCATCAGAGCGCCGTCAAAGGCTTGGTAAGCGTTGGTTAAGCACCCGTTGGGCACCTGCTCCTGCTAGGCACTCCAACCTTGATAGTTGCTTAGTTTAGGGTTTCTAGAATTTAGGGAAATGCTTGGCCCGAAATACACCTGTAGCCTTACATAGCGTTAGTAAAGGCCCATTTGATATCCTGATCCTTATGCCGTAAACCTTCAATTCGTGCAAGATGTTTTTGAGGGGTGGGAGTTTCTCCTAAATCCAGAACTGCAAATGCTCATCCCTGCACCCTAAACCTCTGGACCTTTATAACCCCTCCAAATGCGCGCCATCAAAACCCTAGGTATCCTTAGAATCCGCCTAATTTAAGGGTGCCCCGTGTACCTTTACATATATATATATATACATGCGCATGTACACCTTTATTCCTGTAAAGGGCTACCTGTAGTTGAGGAAGCTTCTCCAGGTGGATACTTCCTCGTGCTTGGCTTTCGCGCCCAAGAACAAGACACTCTTTCATGATGGTCTTAGCGGTTTAGGGCTTAGGGTTGAAGCTTCAGGATCTAAGGCTTCGGGGTTTGGGATGTGTGGCTTTACGGTCAGAATTTGGGCTTGAGGCTCTCAGGGTTAGAAGGCTTGAATGTTTGGGGTTTAGGGATTAGGGTTGAAAGTTTAGGATTTAGGGATTAGGGGATTGGGATTCAGGGACTGGTTTCCGCCGGTTTGGGGGTTAGGATGCAGGGACAAGTTTTCGCCTAGGCCTTGTGAGTATGTTGAAACAGGGCTTACAGTAGGGTTCCTTAGTTGGCTAGAATGGTTTTGTGGTGAACCGCTTGACAAGTATGTTTCCAGCAGGAGTCGAAGGGAAGAAGCACAAAATTGGAAAGTTGAAATTCAAGATAGGGGGAACCTAATATGGGGCTTTCCCAAAATTAGGTGTCCCTGTTTGGGTCTCCGCATAGTAAGGACTATAGCACTTTTGGGGTGTATATCAAATAGGGTACCCCTATTTTGCGAAATTACCATACAGACCCCAAAATGCCATCCCTAAACCCTAAACCCTAATCCTTATTCTAGGGACCTCCAGGCAGGTAACCCCCCGCTGCCATGCAGCGAGGAGAGGGTTACGCAAAGCTCCTCCGCACACACGTCTAAGTCATGAGGAATAGTAAGAGTAACCGTAATAGTAACCGTAATAGTACTAGTAATAGTAACCGTAAGAGTAAGAATGACAGGAAGAATGAGAGGAATAGCAATAGTAGTGCCGCAGACCTGTGGCTTCTAAAGCTTGTCTCGTGGTCACTACACTCCTACATTTCAGGAAGTTCTTCTAAGTTTCTTTATGGTACAACCCCTAGGAACTATTGAACATGCTATTCTTGCTATAGGTATCAGGGGATTACAGATGCAGCCCAACAGAGTCCGTATTAACCAACTGCAAGCAGAATTTCTACTACACCTAGTCTGCGGACCATATTTCTTCATCTTTTTTATGCATTCAGCCGCCGGCTGCAAGTTCTAAGTCTTTCTGGAGATCCACGTGAGCCGAAAAAATAACCCCGCAT